TTACACCAAATTATCTTTTTATACTTCCCAAACAATACGGCGTCTCAGTTGCTATAGAAACCTACCCCTTAATGTTTTTGGTTAGTTGATCCTTTCATGCTCAGGGGCAATCCAAAGATGATTAGCATTAGCACTGCTACTCTGCTTCACATGGGATGCCAGTCGTTTATAAAGCCCCCCCCCTCCACCCTCATCATTTCCCTTGGTTTCCACCCTTTAGGTTCGCTGGTACCTCGTTATACTTCAGGGGGGGGGATAGGCACTGTGAGAGTAGAGTGTCTTTCCCAAGTACATAACACTGTTAAACGTGGTTCTTTTTATCTGGATTCCAGTCCAGCGCGTGCCATACAAGTTTCAGTGCGTCTCACCCTTCAAGAGTGGAGTCCTATTTGATCTTCTACCTCGAGTATCTAACTCTTTGAAATTTAGTATTATGAACTGAGCTGATAACGTAAATTGGCCACCTAAAGAGTTTCAAACTTACGCTTCAAGCGTTAGCCTTTCGTCAGAGCGAAACGTCAGCTTTGGAACTCTTTACGGTGGCCAATTTACGTTATCAACTCAGTTCATAATACTAAATTACCCTGTTTAGTCTACTCTCCCACCGACGCAGCACCACAGTTTCTTCAGAAACTTACCCCTTTTATCTAACTCTTGACTAAATTATAACAAGCTTTCTATCTCGGACTAAGTCGCTTAATTTTTTTTCCTTGAAATTTTGGCCCTTTAATATCAAAAGAAGAATTAGTTGCAATTGAACTTAAATCTCCTTTGCAGTCGTTGTTTGTTCTTCTCACGCAACGGATTTTCATCCACGCAAGGAAATGTGGTTTTAATGTAAGCAGCTTTTGGTGTGAGAGAGAACGCGTGACTGCCTTGTGTGACTACCTTGCGTGACAAATTCAAAAAAACGCCTTGCCTGCAACTACACTTATTTTGGTTTTTTCAGGCAGCAGTGCAACACCCTGTTGTGCGAATGTTAGTCTCCAGAAAATGGAACAAGTTTGCTCACTGGTGGTTTTGGTAAGAGCCTCTTTGGTACAGATTATGAAGTCTTGTGTTTAGTCATCCAAGACAGGCCATCAATAATCTTAGTACACCGTTGAACTCCATGATCTGATCCTTGACTCTCCCCTCTAGCTGCTACTCTTGTAAATAGTTTCAAGAATCTGTTGTTAGGTTAAGGTATCAACTTTTACCAGATGAGTATTCTCATTACCCGTTTGCTGGCTAATGTATAGTTCTTCTTAGGAGAAGTTACTCGTTAATCATTTGTGGGAGTGAAAGAGTTAAGCTGGTGAACTCTTCTCTTCCGTCTCGCTGAAATTCCCATCTTTTGTTGAGTTTCTTTTCATGCAGCCTTCTTGTTAATACCAACGTGATAAAATCACTCGTTTTTACACGTGATGCTTTTTACATCTTGAAATGGTTAGACCAAATTTTCAAGAGTATCATTGTTAATCTTCTTCAGCTTTGTTCCTTCATGGTTCATTATTATCTATGAAGAGTTTTTTCATTTTACTGCGATAACATTTTTCTAGCCTCTTCCAAGTTGTTGCCACTGCAGTTCTGCGCATTGCAATAAATGACTCGAAATTTCTACGCGCAGGCTCAGTCATCGGCAAAGCCACACGTAATTTCTGCAAATGTTAAAATTTAAATCTCTTCCTATTTCAGTGTTGAAGGCTCTTTCTACATTGTGTTTTTAACACTGTTATCTTACGCCCTTATCTACGGCTCGACGCTTGACGATCCAACGCAGTACGGTGGCAGAGCGAATGGCTTGCGTTTGTTCTGTGAAGTTCTTTCCATCATTTTTCTCATGTTTTACTTCTTTGAAGAGGTCAACCAAGCAGAACGGTCAGTATTTCAACCTAACTTTAAAAATTTACATAAAAATGGTTAGATTCAAGTTGAAAGCTAGTTTGACGTATGGAAAATTGTTCATTTGTGTGCTAAAAGTAATCCGGCAGATGAGCGTTCTCACTACTGCGCCATCTCTGCTAAGCTTCTATTTGGAATAGATTTCAAGGTAGTTAATTATGTTCTAACAGCCCAAGAGGTTCAAGTAACCGTCAGTTTAACTGCTGTGTTTATTTTCAGGGAGCGGAGAACTTATTTCAAGGATCCGTACAATTATTTTGATTGGTTGGGTCTCATTTTGACCTTCCTTGTGATTCCTCTTCGATTTGCCGAAGTCAGATATCAGTGGAACGTGGCAGCCCTCGGTTATCTGTTTAATTTTCTCCGACTTTTCAAGTTTTCGTGCGTTACAAGGTAAACTGCTTAATATGTGCATCCCTTGGTTTTTGATATGTTACTTGATTTCCTTGGCTCTAGCTTCTTTGAAAATAAGTGTGTCACGCAAATAAGTCAGAATTGAGAATTGTCGATGTGTGGTCGCTTCGGATCTACATTTGCGGCCAATGGAAGCTTCGCCCCATTACAAGTTCGCCCACTCTGAGTTCGTTCCCGTTACGACGAAGAACGTCTCATTTTTGGTACATCGCGGAGGAAAACAAACTGTATTTAGATGATATTTTGTACCCATCTCGATCATGTTTTCTTATTAGCCAAAACGTTTATAGAAACCGATTTTTAGTTATCTTTCATTTGTCGAGACAAGTTGGTGTCAGGAGCGAACTTCTAATGGGCAAACTCTACATAAACCGCACCTACCAGGATTATTCCGTCATCCAGTGCTGACTTTCTTAATTTTTGCTTCGTAGAACCACGGGTTTGTATACCAAGACTCTTGCCAGGATCATCTACCGCGACATCACTCGCTTTAGTGTGGTGTTTACCATAGTGTTTCTTGGATTCTGTGGCGCCATGTTTATGGCGCTGAAAGCTACTGGTTCTCAGGAGCTTTTTAGGTAAGGTAGAGGTGAAATCGAGTTTTCAAGCTAAGTCAGTTGCTCAGATTACCGTAGCTGATCTCAATTTCTGTAGCATGAAGCGTCAAGGAGTGTTGCGGCTTCCCCCGGATGGGATGCCAGTCCACGGCAGATTCTCCCCCCCCCCACCCTGTGCATTTCCTCAGGCTTCCTTGCTGGTATTTCTTTATACTCCAGGGGGGAAAGAGGCGCTGTGAAAGGAAAGCGTCTACCTGAACATATGTTGGGGTTACCTACGATGGAATTGGAGGAAGTCGCAAAACTTTAAGTCGCTTCAAATTTCAAAAGCTTGATATGCTGCGCAGAATGAA